TATAAGATAAATAATGATCTAATTCAAAAAATAACTGGTTGACTTAACTACTTATATACGTATATACAGTCAAAAGAGCCATCTTGGAACAGTTAAAGATCTATTATCATTTTGGCTGTGTTAATCTAAAATACTAGTAAAATTTTTAGAATATGTTAAGTATGGTTAAGGTATACCAAATATTTGTTCATAAAAATTAAGTGATGAAATATATATTTATATTTAACTGTTCCAAGTTGATCCATTTGACAATACATACATTTAAAAATATTTTAGAGGTATAGTTAACTATATTTTGAGGAAAATAACAAAACACGTAAAAAGCTTTATAATAGTTTAAAAATAAATAAATATATTGTTTTTTCAGTTATATTCATTAAGAAAAATATAATTAATAAAATAAAAAAATTATAAATATATTAAAATATTAATGGATACAATAAGAAATATTTAATTTTAAAAATAGTAATTTCCACTTAATATTTAACAAATCTTACTGATTGTTATCAAACAAGGTGAAAAATAAACTTTTTTTACTTGTAAAAAGAATTCAAAGCCTATATTTCTTATATTGACAGTATCTTTATGTTTTATTTAGTCATCAATATTTTATATCCAATTATTCAATAGAAAATTCAATTATAATTTAATAAAAATATATATATTGAAATAAAATAAAAATTTTCTTTCAAAAAAATAGACATATATACCAGAATAAAATCATAACTAAAAGACCTATTAAAAAATAAATAGTTATTGATATATAATTCATTTCATTAACTTTATTTTTGATCAAAAATCTGTCACAAATTTGTTTTTCTAACATTTTTGCCCCACATAGTACTATTGGGACACCAGTGCCAGGTTGAACAGAAGCACCAACAAAATAAAGATTTTTAAATATTTTACATTGAAGACTAGGACGGAACCATAACACTTGGAATAACTTGTGTGATAATCCTAATATAGATCCTTTCCATAGATTAAATTCTTTTTGCCATGTTCTAGGCTCATTTATCAATTCATGTTCTATCATATTTTTAAAATTAGGTATATTCAGTCTCTTTTCTATAGTATTGATTACCTGTGTTCTAGCTTGACTGATTAATTGGTCATAATCAATATTTTTATCAGTTATATGTCCTACTGGTACTAGAACTACAATTGTATCTTTACCTTCAGGTGCTGCAGTAGGATCAAGTCTACTAGGAACATTAACATAAAATGAAGGTTCATCTGGTAATGTATGATCTTTAAATATTTGATCAAAACTTGATCTATATTTTTCAGCCAAAAATATATTATGGATTTTTAATTGTGGTATTATCTGATTCATTGACCAGTAAAATGATATAGAAGAAGAGGTAAGTTCTTTTTTACCGAGTTTTTGAGCATAATTAGTTTTTGGCAGTAAATTATTGTACGCATAAACTAAATCAGCATTACAAATCACTATATCGCTATCAACTACTTCACCATTTTTAAATTTAATTCCTTTTGCTTCACCATTATTGTTAATAACTATTTCTTTGACATCATTGTTATAGTAGAATTTAGCTCCCAGTTCTTTAGCAATATTCTCTAAGCTTTCTATAACTTTATGAAAACCACCTTTTGGATACCATATACCTTCAACTAATTCAGTGTATTGCAACAAATTATAAGGAGCCAATCCATCATATGGAGACATTCTGCATCATAAAACAAAATTAATTTAAGTACATAAATTGAATATATTATAAAAATTATAATCTTACCCTAAATACATTGTTTGAAATGTAAAGGCTTTTCTCATATAATCACTTTTGAAATATTTACAAGCTCTGTTGTAAACAGTGTCAAATAAATGAAGTTTCAATACATCAGGAATATGTTTTGGATGAAAAAAGTTATACCAATGCTGAAAATCAGTTTTTAAAGCCACTTTTACACTTCTTTGATAATGTATATGGGTTTCCTTCAAATAATTTAGAAAACGTAGTAATGTATTTTCTTCACTACCTTCAAATTTTTCTAAGGATCGTTGCAATTTAGACATATCAGTTGTTAGTTCAAAAGTTTCTCCATCATGAAAGTAAACATTGTAGTTTGATGTACATTTTAAAAGTTCTATATGATTGTAAATATCTTCTCCCAAATCATTAAAAGTTTCTTCGAATATTTTTGGCATTAAGTATAAAGATGGGCCTTGATCAAAACGATGACCATTGTGTCTGATTAATGAGCATCTTCCTCCATTATACGAGTTTTTTTCATATACTTCCACTTGAAATCCTTGTTTACTTAATCTGGCTGCAGTAGCTGTACCTCCAATACCTGCACCAATGATGCAAATTTTGACCATTTTATAAACTAAAAAATAAAAGAATATTTAATAGAAAGAGTATCTAATATATGTTTAGACAATTAAAAATTTAAATATATATTTTTTTAAGCCATGGTAAGAGCCTTTTTTTTTCACGGTCGACATAATGTTGGCCGCTCTGGAACTACGGTGAGGTATTGCTTCAGGGCAATGGTAAGAGCTTGCACGCGATATAATTTAGACTACGAAATATTATAAACACATCTTACCACCACTGGTCGAATAAAGATGCTTACCCAAGACGGAATTTCCAGGGACTATCTAGTTCCAAAAAAATATTTTGGTTGGAAGATTTTGTTAAATGGAAGTGTGATATACTTTACACCCAAGAAACACTTAGATACAAATGACAACCGTCCAAAAATTAATGACATGTAAATTGCATTAGAATTACTTCAGAAAAGATATGGAAACGCAATATTTACAAAACTGGTCAGAAGCAGACAACTTGATGTTGGTATAAGATCCTAAACAATCACACTCCTTTAACAGACGTTGGCATACACAACAAAGTTCAAAGTATTTCGGAAAACCGATACCAAACACACAGTATAATCCAGATTGCCTATGATATGTATTTGAACCGGTTTATAGGAATTGTTATCGTCGCTCGGTGGTATCTTTTTGTTTAATAAATCAGTTGTATACTAGACACCCATGTGTTGCATCATTCTTGTCATCTAATCGTACATATAAGTGGCGACGAGTGGATCTTTTTTTTTTGTGTGCTGTGTTTTAAAATGTCAAATTAAAAAAGATACCAATGTCTGGTATAGCAAATTTTATTTCGGCATTCGAGCCAGAGAGGGAGCCGTTTAAAAATTATTTAGATTGATTAGAAGTACAGTTAACCGTGCTAAAAGTCAAGGAAGCAGATAAGGCAAATTATTTAATTGCATATATTGGTCTTGAAACGTATAATTATTTGAATATAGCAGTTTGCCGGACGAACCGGATGATAAAGTCTATGATGAATTTCTCACTATCCTTAAAGAAATTTTCTCTCCACGTCGATGTAGTTCACGTAGTGAGTGAACGATTTAAATTTAATCAACGGGCAGATGAATCTATCCAAGAATTCATTGATAGTTTAAAAAATGTAGCAAACTTTTGCGAATTCGACTTTTTGCGTTGTGGGATTGTCATATGTTGGTCTGAAGGATAAATCAATACAACGCAAATTACTTGGCGAGAAGACTTTAAAGTTTAAAAAGACATTTGAAATTGCCTTAAATTCCGAATTAGTCGGTAATCTAACTAACCAAATAAACCAGTGTTATTCGCAAATTAATGCGGTTACTAAATCGTACGTGGAATTTAAGAAAAACACAAATAATTCCACGACGGTGTTTAATAAAAATATGAACAAGTTTCAAGGGAAAAATAGTAAATTTAGTAGTCGAAGTGGTCCATCAAATCAAAATTACGTCAGGGATCAGCCGCAGAATCAGTCATCTCAAAGTAATGGTCAGTCAGTCAGACAGTGTTTTCGGTATGGGAGAAATCATGATCATCGTACGTGTCCAGCAAAAGAATGGAAATGTTTTGCATGTGGGGCCTTGAGTCATACCTCAAATTCAAAAATTTGTAAAGTCAAAACATAGGGTAAATATATTAATTTTATTGAATCGGTGACTGATATTATTAATGTAAATGTAAGTTCTCTGAGCTGTGAGCCTTTAATGATAAATATTAAAATTAATGGGATTTTATTAAATTTTGAAATAGATAGTGGGACGTCTGTTACTATTATTCCAAAAAAAGTGTTTATGGAAAAGTTAAAAAATAAAATATGTCTGAAGTCGAAACCGATACATTTAAATTCGGTTAATAATACTGAAATATAAGTGTTAGGTCAATCCTTAGTTGATGTAGAGTTGGCAGGTAAAGTAGTAAAACTCAATTTGATTGTGACTAATGACAGTGTTAGTAAGTGTTTATTAGGTAGGAATTGGTTAAATATACTTTATCCTGATTGGAGGAAAATGTTCATTAGTGTAACGAGTGAGGTGAGTCGAGGAGAAATTCAGTTACTTATAAGCAAAATAGAGGATAAAAATAAAATTGTTGATGAAATTGAAAGAAATTTTTCCGTATGTCATTTCTAATAATAATATTTTTCATGATAGTATTATTGGATATGAAGTAAATTTAACTTTAAGAGATAACAGTGTTCCAAGATTTCATAGAGCATATCAATTACTATATGCGCTTAGATCAAAAGTAGAAGATGAATTAAGCCGTTTAGAACGCCAAAAAAAATTTCGTAAGTAGTGAGTGGGCTATAATAGTGGGTAATAATGAACAAAATTGTTGTGAAACGGTAAACAAAGTATTTCAGCGGTTAAATTCAGATAGAGTAAAAGTTAATTTTAGTAAATGTCAATGGTATTGTACTAGTGTGAAATTTTTAGGTTATATTATTGACGGAGATGGTATTCGCCCAGGTAAAAAAAAGTTAAATGCAATAATGAACGTACCTAAACCTAATGATATAACGCAATTAAAGTTTTTTTTAGGGTTAATAAATTATTATAATAAGTTCATTCCAATGTCCGTAACTTAGTTAGCTCCGTTGTAAGAATTGACAAAAATTAATACTAGGTGGGAATGGTCAACAGAATGTGAAGAAGCATTTCACCAGGCTAAAGTAGCTTTATGTAATAGTCAGTTGTTAGTTCCATTTAACCCAAAGTTTCCCTTAGTTTTAACCACCGATAGTAGTAGTTATGGAGTAGGTGCAGTAATTAGTCACATAATCGACAATGAGGAGAAACCGATAGCGTTTGCGTCGAGCACGTTATCCAAAAGTCAAAAAAAATTATCACAAATATTTGTTTAGTTTAGATTTTATTTTGGTAACTGATCATCAACCATTAAAAACAATTTTTAATCCAATCAAAAATATCCCGGCAGTATCAACGTCAAGGTTACAACGATGGGCAATAATTTTATCTAGTTATCGATATATAATACAATATAAAAAAGGTACACAGATCATTCACGCGGATCCAGGTTACCAGTTTTAGATGAAATTGAAGTGGAATCCGAAAATTTATCTTTTTTGGAAGAATTGCCACTATCATATAAAAAAATTGGCGAGGAAATAAAAAAGATGAAGTATTTAAAAAAGTATGTAATTATATTGTTTCAAATTGGCCAGCAAAAATAAAAGACCAAGTTCTTCTATCGTAATTTCGTCGACGGAATGAGTTATCGGTCTATAAAGATTGCATTATTGTAGGTTGTAGAGTAGTAATACCTAAGAGCATTCAACTGCATCTGTTAAAAATACTACACGAGGGTATCCCGGTATAGTACGCACGGAAATGTTGGCTAAGTCACATGTGTGGTAGGATACATTATGTAATGATATAGAATGTTTTAGTAAAGAGTGTAGTGAATGACAAATAAATCAAAACGATAAAGCTATAAATGATATAGTATATGTTAGTTGGCCAAAGTCGATCATGGCTTGGGAAAGAGTTCATATCGATTTCTTTGAAATTAATAAACCCAGCACAGGGGGGTCGCGGCACAGTGGTGACGTGGCATAGTTGGATCAAGTATAATGATATCTGACAGTGATTAAAATCACTATCAAAAATAAACGCTTCGATGCAAATCTTTAGATAGTGTTTAATTTTAAAAAAATTGGTGTTTTATTCCAAAAGCTACTTGATCTGCTGGTTCCTTATTAATATCTCGATTAAGATAAAGTATGTCGAATGAAAAAGGGTTTATTAAAAAATATTATTTCTCATAAAAAAATTGTGTGGATCCATAAACTTTTCAATAAGTTATAGCATTATAAAGTTAAATATAATATAAATAATAAAATCGAAAATTTTCACACGAAAATAGCATTCAGTAGCCATTTTCAGCGTGAAGACAAGTCCAGAGGTCAATTTTTTTTTTTTTAAATTAAAGTATATTACATTAGCTTTAATTTAAGATATATATAAAAGTGTCAGACCTTCCGGAACACTTTCAAAAGTTAAGTTGAAAAAGTTCTACTTTCTATATGCATTTTTTATATTTGAAGCCCCCCCATATATAGGGAAATAGTCTGATTTAAAAAAAAAGTATATCCAATGAAAGATGTATATAAATACTACTTCTCATGAAAAAATTGTATTGATCCATACATTTTTTAAAAAGTTATAGCACTTTAAAGTAAAAAATGTAAATTATAAAATCGAAAATTTTCACACAAAAATAGCATTCGGTAGCCGTTTTCACCATGAAGACAAGTCCAGAGGTCAAATTTTTTTTTTTCAAATTAAAGTACATTACATTAGCTTTAATTTAAGATATATATAAAAGTGTCAGACCTTCCGGAACATTTTCAAAAGTTAAGTTGAAAAAGTTAATTTTTTGTGAAAAAGTTGTCATTTTAAATCCCCCCCTGTGGGCAGGTTAAGTGTCAAATTTACAAAAAAAATATACCAAATGATAGGTAAAGACATCAAGCATCTATATAAAAAAAAATTATATTGATATGTTCATTTTTGAAAAAGTTACGGCAGTTTTTAGTAAAAAAAATTGAAAAAATTTCGAAAATTAGCAATTTTTAAATTTGTAATTTTTTTGGAGGTTTCCCCCATTTACGGGGAACGAGGGAAATTTTTTCAATTTTGAAGGGTAATGTCTTCGACTAGATACGATTTGTGATCTTTTGACGTATCGTTGAAAGAAATCCGTTCAGTGAGAGCTGAGAAAAAGTGGTAACAGACACAAAAAAAAAAAAAAAAAAAAAAAAAAAAAAAAAAAAAAAAAAAAAAAAAAAACACATCATAGTAAAACCAATACCTTCTCAGCTTCGCATCGAAGCTAAAAGTTGAAATATTGTTATTAGTTGATGATTATAGTAAAGTATGGATTGAATGTTGGGTTATGAGTCTTACAAATGCTAGTAAAGTAATTGAATTCTTAAATAGTTGTTTCCATCGATTTGGGTTTGCAAAAACAATGGTTTGCGATAATGGTCCTCCATTTAGCTCAGTTGAATTTCATGATTTTTGTGAAGGTAATAATATTGATATAATTCATGCACCTTCATACAATCCTGAATCAAATAGGTTAGCAGAATGAGGTGTTCAAACAGTAAAAAAAGGGTTGGTAAAAATACTCAGTCAGGTAAAAGATAATAAAAGAATTCAAAGTAAAATCGATAAGTGTTTAATTGGCAAGATAGTAAAAGTATTAGGATCTTGTTTGTATTTAGTTGAAGTTGGGGGTAAACATAAAATAATTCATGTAAATAAAATTAAGTGCAGTTGGCTTAAAGAGACTTACATAGAGTAGGAAAAAAATAAATGTTTAATAATAAATAAAAATAATAGTAATTATTATACAGCTATACATATTATACTAACATTAATTCATTGATTGTTTTGTTGTTGTTGTTGTTTCTTACTTAAAACATTTGTATTACAATGTGTAACTTATCGTGCTTAATTATTATTGTTAGTTTGTATCAATTTATTGTTTTGTAAAGAGGGAAAAGATGATATGTATTTGAATCGGTTTATAGGAATTGTTATCGCCTCTCGGTGGTATCTTTTTGTTTAATAAATCAGTTGTATACTAGACACCCATGTGTAGCATCATTCGTGTCACCTCATCGTACATATAAGCCTATAAATCTACATTTTCATTAGAGCACAGAATGTACTTTTTAAAAGAAGATTTATTAATAAAACAACTACATATACTGAATTTACAGAAAACAAAATCAAACAAATTGAGTCCATAATATCAAATTATAAGAACTTTGTTATAATAGTGAAAGAGGAAGTAAATAATAATACGCAACGGGACTTAACAAAGATTGCTCCAGTCTTTTCGAAAAATACAATCAAGATTTTGATAGAGACCTTTTTTTCTGCTGATACAGTATTACTAAGACTGAATTTGATGTAGTTGGCAAACGATAATAGAAGACATAAATAGGAATCACTAGTAAAAAAGTATGGAATATTTTAAAACAATTAAATGAAAAATTGAAGCTATTAGATAATATAGTAATGTAACAGCAAACCAAACCGCACATGTCATTCTCAAAAATGATAATCCCGAAAAGTTGAAAATGAAAATAATACAAATATCTAGGGACGGAGAAAATGAAGTATCACTTTTCTCAGTAGACTTTAGTGAAGAAAGACTAACATATGTAATAAAACAGACGAAAGAAGGTAAAGCACTTAGATAGATGAAATACAAATAGTAAAAAAAAATAATATATTGGTAATAACACATACGAATGGATGTTTTTTTAATTTTTTAACAAGTGCCGTAGAATGCCTCCTCTGAATTTTTTTGTTGAATAAAAAAAAAAAAATACCTTCAAAATATCTAGCATACCATTGTTTACTCTTCAAGTAAAAGATAAGCCGGTTACATTCAAACAAGAACCAATGCGATCATATCAGATACTGTTCAATAAGATCTTATTACTTTTAACGATATTATCCTCTATATTAGTGCAAGTTTATTTCTGCCTCATATATCATTCAAGTTCACAACCAACGACCATACTGATACTATATACAAAAACTTGCTGTGGACTATTGTCATTAATAACGGTTTTATTTTGTGATGGGCCACCTAAGTAAAGCATTAACATAACAAAGACAATTACCGTTTTTTTGCGATTTCTATTACTTTTTTAATGTGTTTCCAAAATATGAAGAGTTTGTCTACCTAAATTTCTAGTTAATGAGTTGAACGTTTAACTGGAATTTGAGAATTTAATGATAAGTTAACACAGAGTTTCTATACTCGTATGTCTATTGTCATGTTAAGATGAATGTCTCAGAATTATGAAGGGCTACTTGTAAACCATTAGTCAACATCCAATCAGTTATTTGTTTTAGTGTCAATTTCAAGAATTTTCACGTTGTGTAAAACAATAACTAAAGTCACATAATTTGCAAAATCAACAAAATGTATGTTTTCTGGTATATTAATTTATAAAAAATCATTATAAAAAATGTTCTAAAGTATTGGTTCCAAGACAAAGCCTCGTGAGATATCACAAGTATTATCCCTAATTTTACCACCCTTCGCAACTTCAATGAGTATTTTTTTATCGCTCATATATGAGCTTAGTAATCTAACCAAATAGTCCGCCAGTCTAAGTAATTGAAAAGCTGTATCAATAGGAAGCCATAGTGCAGAATTAAATTCGTTCTTGACGTCAAGAGCGGTTATTAATTACAGGTTCTTTTTTCTTGCTAATCATATGGCTAATGCATTAGCAATATTCAATACCGTCTTAATAGCATCGACTATCAAAAGACCAAGCCGAAAATTAAATTATATATCACTTTGTCAATGGACTCATAACTATAATTTTAAATACTCCTAGATTCATGGTTACACATTTTAACCTCGCCCCAGGTTGCAACATTAAACCATAAGTTTATCTCACATATCTTATCTATCTTATAGGAGTTAGTTTTTATTTAAAATTTTTCATTCATTAAAAATTGATTTAAAACTATTTAAAAATCGAATTTATGTTTATTTCTTATTTTTTATTTTAACCGCCATTTTCTTTTTATTGAATTATTCAAATTTGCATTTGAGATCTCATTTGAATTCTTTTATTAGTTTATAGTTTATTAAAAATCGTAAAAATTTGTTAATTTTGAACTTTATTGAATGTTTTATTTAAATAAAAAAAAAAATTTTAGGATACCCAATTATTTTTTTATATAAATGTTACAAACAATGAGAACAATAGATATTCGTTTCCTTACTATCTGAATACACCCTATGTATAAATACTCAATAAATCGAAAATTATATGTAAGAAATCAAAAAAAAGGTAACTTATTTTTATTGTAAGTATAATTGAATCATGATAAATTAATCACTCTGTAGTATGAGAAAGATTATAACTAATTTTAGCTTCGATGAGAAACTGAGAAGACATTAATTATACCGTGATGGGTTTATTTTTTTTTTTATTATCTGTCGCTACTTTTTCTCAGCTCTCACTGGACCGATTTTTCTCAACGATACGTTAAAAGATCACAAATTGTATTTAGTTGAAGACAATACCCTCAAAAATTGAAAATTTTGCCTTCGTTCCCCGTAAATAGTGAAAATCCCCTAAAAAATTACGATTTTTAAAAATCGATAAATTTCGACATTTTTTTTCTAAAAATTGCCATAACTTTTTGAAAAATGAACAATTTAAAATAATTATTTTTTATGTTGAAACCTTAGATATTCCCCTTTCATTTGATATAAATTTTTAGAAAATCTGACCCTTTTACTGTCCACGGGGGGAATTTAAAATAGCAACTTCTGTACAAAAATTTAATTTGTTCAATTTAAGTTTTGAAATTGTTTCGGAAATACTCCGAGCTTCAAAGATATGTTAAAATAAAGCTAATGTTGCTGTAGTTAAAAAACATGATGTTTTTGTGTTAAAATTCTTGGTATTGTATTTTAATTTATTTTAAAATACCTTCTAGGGGTACACTAATTTTCATGAATGTTATATAAAACTGATTGTCATAGAATGTAATGTTAAACTTATTTAAATTTTTTTTTTTTTTTAAAGTCGAAAAAAATAATTTTAACATTTGAATCAGCTTAAAATGCCAATTTATCAAAATACGAATGCGATTCAGTAATAATCATTGCTTTTTCCGTAATATTTTTTAAGTTAGAATTTTACTTTTCAATAATCCTCCAATTTCTTAAAATTAAACACTTTCTACAAATTTGCATCGAAGCTTTTCTTATGATAGTGATTTTAATCACTGTCATATATCAGCCATACTAGTTCCAACTATACCACACTCACACTGTGTCGCGACCCCACTGTGCTACCGTTTTTTTGTCTAATCATATATAATAACAAATATTAATTTTCTCAGCCTAGGTACAAGCTATATATTTAATGTAATAACAAAGTTGAATTGTAGCTAAGTAATAAATTATTACAAAATTAATAAAATGTAACAAGTCAATTTTTCTTATTAATTTATTGGTCAATAATGTAATGAAACTGGTAAAGTTGAACATGTGACGTTGAAATGCCAAAGTGGTTTTGTTGTTCTACGCAATATGATGCAAGGTCTTTAAACATTAATTCCTTGTATAATGTATGCGTTACGTAACAACATTAACTTCAGAGTTGTAAAAGAGTTTAAAAGAAAGTAACTTACAATAATTATCTCAATTAACACTATTTTATAATTTATCCTGACACTGTTGGTACTTTAAACAGGGTTTTAAGTTTTATAAATTCCCAAATTAAAATAAGTAAATGCGCAGATGATTAGGTATAGGTAAAAGCTAAGGTGTATCTAAAAAAATTGTAGTAACAAATTTAAAAATTGAGAGCTATTCAAATTGTTTTAAGATAAATTAAATTAATAATTTTAAAGATTTTATGGAGGCTCAGACATCTGGACAATCCTTAAATATTAGTCTCATGAAATGTGTTTGATCTGTATTTAATTAACTTCGGTAACAACAGAAGAATTAAATAAATGTTATTTCGTGATTTTTAATTTAGAATACAACAGGAAATGTGCACCATAAAAAAAATGTAATAAATTTAATGTGTACAAAGTATATAAATTATGTTTATTTAAATAAAAAATACATACCCAAAAGAAAAGTAATAAAAGCAAACTGAAACTAATAAGAAGACATTACCTTATCAAAGTAACGATATCGTACAGTTGGTATAAATGTCGTGATGCAGAGGGCAGGTTATAACATAGCATTTATCATTACTTCGCTCTTTCGTAGCAATATAGTTTCGAAGCCCAAAACAGTAATTCTAGAATTTTCTATGGTCTGCTCTAATGATCGTCTATAGTTACTACTTCACTTCGATTGCAGTGAATCCAACGTATGCAGCAATTACTATAGCAAGTACCGTTAAATTTTATTTAATATTAATAAACTATTTTAAACTGCTGTTCTATAGAGTCTACTGCCATACACTATATGAAAATTTCATACAGTTTGTGGTATTGCAGTAAAATTAAATTAAGGGGCATTGTGTACTTACTAACATATGATGCATTTGAATGTTATTGTTTTATCCTAAACTTTGGACAGAACCTATTAATGTAGCACTGGAAGAACAAATATTCACTAATAAATAAAATAAAATACTCTAATAAGAAATATGCATTACATTTGAGTATTAATAGTTTAATAATATATGCATACACTTGTAAATATTGCTATGGTACCAATTGAATACGAATGACGTCCTCTAATAAAATGACTGTTGCAGTAGCTGCAAGGTACTACTTCTGCCTTTTAGTTATATAATAATTTCAAGTGTTCCTCCACTAAATACTAGAAACCGTCATATGCAATGATGTGCGCCGGTGCTCGAGTTCATTCTTATATTTTCTGTATACTATTTTTTGAGGAGGGAGTACAGTGATGAACGAAAACAGGATAAGGGTAGTAGTGCACGTTTGTCCGTCGATGATTTACCTCAACTTATAAATTTACTTGTAAATATAAACTTTAACTGAACTCATAGAATTGTACTCGAAACATACATATCATATTAAAATGTAAGTACGTCTATAGAATTTATAATAGTTTATTTTTGTTTGTTTTTGTTAGAGCAAACCAATTAAATTATTGCATTATATTATGTAATATATATTTTTTAATTATTAATTTAAACAAGGATATATTTTGATTAATTTCTTTATATGTTATTATTACAATTATACATTTTCGGTATAAACAAGTATTAAAGTTTGATTCGAAATGGAATAAGTATTTATTTTTTAATTTAATTTCAAACTAAATATTAATTAGTTTGTTATCATATTATTAGTTTTGCTAATTTTATGATTGACGTTTGATTGTATATATTAAGGATAATATTCTATATACTAAATTGTTAACTTTTAAATATCTCATTAGTATATTTATGAAATCGTTAAAAAAAAACTTCGCCGAATTATTATTTTTTATTTATTAACTATTTTAGTACTTAAATATTTAAACTAATATTATAAATGTATATTTATCTAGAAATAAAAAAATTTTAAATTAGAATTAAAAATATGTTTTCAATAGATTTTATTGGGATTCTGATGGCATTTTTTTAGTTTTATTGATACCGTATTCTTACTAGTAGGATACCATGTGTTTCTGACGATTGATAAATGAAGAGATATATACAATTTTAAATACTTGTTTGTATACCATCTCGGAAAAAGAGATTCCTGTCTAAATAAATCCTATTGTGGCCCAATGTGATTGATAGATATAAACATAATCATTTTTTTCTTTTCTCAATTTTACAATTTTTTTTATTAAAGCCAGATATTTAATAATATACTCAACTTAGTATGTTAACATCCTAAACCCTAAAATTATCCCAATATCTTTATATAAATAAAAATTTCGTCATTATTTCCAAGTTTTGAAACCAATTAAATATTCTCTTGAAAAGTTAAAAATGAAAAAATTGATTTTACAACCTATGTTTCTTTGTCATTTCAATAAAAAGAAAAATAAGAGTAAATTTTTTATATTTGTAATTCTTGAAATAAATTTCAATTTCCATTGAATAACTTAGTAATTTTATGTAGCCACACATTGAACGAATTTCTTGAACAATTTTTTTAGTAACTTGAGATATTTATATTTAAATATCAATACTACATGATGAATTACGATAACTCTATTATATATTATATTTAGTAATTGATGACTGTTTTGTACTATGGTTAATATTAAGGTACTATGTTAATTTTGTTATAGTTATATAACAATAATAATACAACATTTTATAGTTCTAAAATATTTTTATTCTTAATGAGAAAAAAAGTTTTTATCTTATTAATGTACGATCTACCTGTAAGTATTTATGTAGATATAAAGAAGTGTTTAGTGAAATATTTTATTAATTTTTTTAATATTTGTGAGTTCAAAATTTTACAATGAGTTATAATAATATTTTGAATTGTGATATAGTAAAATAATTAAACTTAGAATTAGGATATGAAGCCATACATTTTCAGTAATATGTACATATACAAATTATGCGTAAGCCAGACTCGTAACAATGTTAACGTAAGACTTATATAGGAATTTGAAGTTTTAGCAGTTTTAATTGTCATTCAATAAAAGCTTTAAATGAACCAAAGTAACAAAAAAAATTTCTAACCTATTAAACTTTATTTAGTAAACCTTTCAATACACAGACTTATTATAATTATTTAATTTGAAAAAATTCTAACAAAACGAAGTGAACTAATCTTGTATACTTATCAATCCTCGTAATTTATGAGATTCATTTTTTTTTTATATTTTATATTAAATCTAGTAATAACCTTTATCATGCTGCTTGATAAATGTATAAAGAATACCTGTTATTTATTAAAGTTAATTATTTGCTAATGATAATTTTTAACAGTTTAGTTACTAAGCATTATAAATTTTAATTTATAATGTGTTCATCTATTAAATAACACTAACGTTTTAATAGATTATCTTCAAAACATTTAATTTTTCTAAATGGTTGTTGTGTAACGTTCGTGATGACTTATTACACAATGTTATTGAAATTTATAATACTCCTAATACTTATAGAAAATATTTCCTTAAAGACATATTAAATATTAAATGAATAATAAAGCCATTTTCTTAAGACATAAAAAATTGTATATTTCATTGTTTTAAGTTATTTAAAATTAATTTAAACAATTATATATTGATTTCGTTTAAGATTGGTTTAATTTTGTACCATTTTTAAATATATTACTCAAAATTCATATATAGTTAAAAATTGAGGATTTAATCAATAATGAGAATGTGTGATGTGACGAAAAAAGGTAGAATACGAAATGAGTATAGAAGTGATGCCGATATTAGTAAAAATTCGAGTTGATATAAATGTTTAGGCTACATTTTGAGACTAAATTGAATCAATGACATTTATTAAAAATATGTACATATAAAGAAATTAGGGAATGAAAAAATTAAAAAAAAAAGTAGATTATAGGAAGTTGAACGTATGTATGTCATTATCGAAATGACTTGCATATTACATGTAGATACCTGATTTCAAGAATTGCAGATGAATATCAGACAGTAGCCTATTTCAGGGGAAAGTAAGACAAAATAGGTCATTAAATTATGTGTTATAATAACACTCTTGGTAAAACAACATATTCTATATAACCAAGGTGGTTATCCCATAAAATTAAGAGAGAAAATTAATTAAAAGTGTGTTGGGTAGTGAGTATAGATATTGATACATTTTAATTATTATATCAATGAATAATTGATAAAAACTTGTAAGAAATATTCTACTATAATAGTCTACTATGGTAACATTATAAATACACAGATTAAAACATATACGTTTTTAAATTTACCAATAATATATCTTATGTATATAATATGTCTAATAGCAAACTAGAATTTTTTTAAAGAAAGGACTGAAGAATAAATATTTCGTTTCTTTTTTAATCTTTTTAGAAGTTGAAAATTAAAATTTTATTAAAAATATTACTTTTAAACTAAAAAATATTGTATTCAAAAAGCCACAAAAAAATTACTAGAAATACGAGGGTAAAAAAACAATGTTACCACTATCAACGATAAACACATACTCTCGGAGTACACTGATTTTCATAAATATTATCTTCTTCTTCTTCTTCTTTTTTTTCGCCTTAATCCCAACTACTTGGGGTTAGCCATATTTATCCTAAACTTTCACTTGACACGATCTCCCACATTATTAACCCTCACATCAGCCGTCCTCATATCGTATTCAATAACACCCCTCTATCTCTTTTTTGGTCTTCCTCTACCTCTTATTCCTTCAACATTCATTTCTATAACTGTTCTTACAGCTTCCGATGAGTCTCTTTTCATAACATGACCAAACCATTTAAGTCTATTATCTCTCATCTCTTGGTACTTTTAAAAATACAATTTTCACTAAAAAAAAATAGAAAGTCACATGAATTTTTTTTACAGAGCTGTAGATTCATCAACCCTTTAACTTGATCATTGATCCAAGATTATACTACGTATCTAAGGCTACGAGGTGTGTTAAAAAAATAACCGGAATTTTTAAATTTTGCGGGTTTGGAGAGTCCGATTATCAAAAAAAATTTTTTCATAATGTTAGTACTTATATTCCTGTAGTATGATAAATTTTTAGTTGAATTAATTTTTACTTTGTCAGTGGCAGCCGCCAAGGTTAGACGTGTTTTAATGAGCTCAGCCATTTTCAATTTTAATAAAAATGGCTAAAAGGATTTGTATCAAATTTTGCGTAAAAAATGAAACAAAGTGTGCGAAATGTTAACAAAGACTTTTGATGAGTCTGCCATAAGTAAAATTAGGGTTTACGAATGGTAGAAGCGTTTCAAAGATGGCCGCGAAGACGTCGAAGATAATAAACGCCCCAGCATATTAACAACCGATGAAAACTTAAAAAAAAAAATTGAAAGAAACAGTTATGAACGATGGCCGAATCACAATCAGAAAAGTCGCTGATAATCTTCGAATGTCAATTGGCTTATGTCATAAATTTTTTTTGAATGTTTTGCGTATGAAACGTGTAGCACCAAAATTTATTCAAAAATTGTTGAATTTTGAACAAAAACAGCGGCGAATGGAAGTGGCTCAGGAGTTACTTAATGAAGTCAACCACAATGAAGAATTACTGAAACATATTTATAGGTGACAAACGTGGGTTTAAGGATACGACGACGAAACTATGGCTCAATTGCCCCAGTGGAGGCATTCTGAATCGCCAAGACCGAAAAAGCCTCATCAAGTGCGATCGAACGCGAAGGTTATGCTCACTGTGTTCTTCGCTTTTAATGGCATAGTGCATCATAAATTCTTGCCACGAAATCAATAAGGAGTACTACCTACAAGTTCAATGTCATTTGCATAAAGCAGTCTGAATAAAACGCCCGAATTTGTGGCAAAACAATTTATGACTTTTGCATCGCGATAATGCTCCTTTAATTAACGCACACTTCGATCGTGAATTTTTTGCCAAAAACAATACTGTAACGATTCCCCATTTCCATAATCGCCAGACATGGTTCCGTGTGACTTTTTTCTATTTCCAAAAATAAAGAGAAACATAAAGGGCTATCGTTTTACAAGCATAGATGACATTAAAAAAAAATCGCTGAATGATCTGAAGACTATTCTAAAGATCGAGTTTGAGAAGTGTTTCGAAGATTGGAAGAAACGTTGGCATAAATGCATAATAACTACTGGGACTTTTTTGAAGGCGACTACATTAATGTAGACGAATAAATAAATATTTTATTCAAAAAACGAAAATTTCTATTATTTTTTGAACACATATTGTATGTACTTTATGTAACTCTAATGAAATAAAAGGTATAAAAATGGATGATACACAATTTTGATAGAATAATATTTTCTTATTTTTAGAATCCATAAGATAGAAACACATTTTTAATGCGTTATTTGTTGTCTTTAAACTAAAAACACGATCATCCATTTATTGTTTTTTTTTACCTTTTTCTTTAAATATTATAATAACTGCGGGTTCAAGGAAAGTATATAAATTATATATTAAAGCTTATTAAAAAAGGTGCTCAAAGTTCAGACTGCTAAGTATGTTTTATGTTGTTGAAAACTTTAAAGCTCATTAAAAACTGATACATGAGAAAGTTTTATATCTTTTTTGAAAATTATCTGTATTTAATACTTATTATTTGTCTAGAAGATTAATAACTATATTACTTTGAACTTATTTAATTATTCTTATCTAAAATATTTTCTAATGCAATTAACATTAATTTATAAATGATAAAAATTATTACATATTTAAAATAACAATTAAGTAATTTTTTTTTTATCATGTAAACAATTTTTATATATCGGTGATTTTTTTTATCTTTAATCGCCTAATTAATGAAAAAATAAAAATAACATTAATAATTTTTTTTATTGGCTTCTTTTATTTCTTGGTTTTTCTCTATTTGTTATTTATAAAGTATTTTTTATGTTCAACCCTTATATCTTATAAGGGCGACAGTTTTAATTTTTCAAACGGCAACATACTTAATTAAAAAACTTATTTTTTAATTAAGTTACAATAATTTTAATACATTGAGTGGTAGAGCTTACACTAGTGCTAGTGGCGCCGATGTTAAATTATAGATAAAAAATATTTTATGGGACACCACCACCTCCAAATTTCTAGCTTTGATGTGAGGCTGAGAAGGTATTAATTTTAGTTTTAAATCAACAGAAAAGTTGATTTAAAAAAGTTTATTTTTGTTTCTGATGAAAGTTCCTTGTAGTTCAGTGTATTAAACTTATAACTTTGTTATAAGTAACAAAAAATTTTTATTGAAAAGTATTGCATCAAGCCCTTTAAATTTTGATACGCATTAAAAGTAAAGAAATATACAACTAATTTATTATTTTTATAATATCTCCGTAAAAATTACAATATTAAATTATTGAATATCAATTTCATACTAAATTTAATTACTATAATTATTATTTATTCATATATTATAATTATAAATCGGAATAAAAATAAGGGAATAAAAATTATTGTTGCTTTTGAAATAATATACGAAATTCTTAAAATTAAACTATCAGATATGCAACTAAGCGTTTCTTATGATAGTGATTTTAATTACTGTCAGATTAAATCTATTCAAGACCCAACTATGCTACGTCCCCACTGTTCCGCGACCCCACTGTGATAGGTTTGTTTTATGGATCTCATTTATTTCTTAGCTCTCACTTGATCAACTCTTTTTGACGATACATCAAATGATCACAACTATTATCTAGTTAAAGATATGACCCTCAAAAATATAAAAAATTAGTATAGTCTTCTTCTTATAGCTGATGGTTCTTGATGACATTCTTCTTTTACGTTCATTCATGTGGAAAAATCAAAAAATTTTATTAGGAGCTCAGCAAATCACAGAACACATATCCCCGTTTATTAACCCTTTCCTTCATAACTTAAGTATTTTCACTTTAATATCATTATAATGATCACCTCCACTTCTATGTAAGGATAAATCGCTTTATTATTTTTTATATTAAAAAATATTTTTATAAAAAGGCGGCAAATTCATTTAGTGAATACGGCGGCACATTGATTAAATCCTGCACTGATAAAACCTGAACTTAAATTTTCATTGATTGAATTTAATTTAATAATATTATATAAAAAAACAATTTCAAGCAATTTTATTTTTTAAATTTTTTTATCCGATCAACTGTTTAACTATTACAGTTTGTTAAAATTAAGTGATTTTAGTCTAATTTGTTAAAAATAATAAAAGTTTTATATGATCTATTTTGTCTCATAAACCACATTTTATTGACCAGGGTATTATCCATAGTATAAAAATTTTATCTTTAATAACTAATATTTATTAATAGACCATTACACTTATATTCAATTGTCAATTTACTATCGGACATTATCAGTCTACCTGTATGGATAATTTTTCTTGATGACTACCTTAATCAAAATTTGTGGATTATCATGAAACAGATAATTACTGCCTCCGGTCTACATTTTAAACATATTGTAGGATATTTAATAATAATTATTATTATTATTATTATTATGATAAAGAAATTATTTTTTGTATTTTTTAGTTTCATATAATTCTTGATGTATCAGTCATTACTTTTTCAATTTATCCGTTATAACTTTAAAAAAATGTAATTTTTCTATACAGCAATGTACATATTTAATTAACTTAAAAAAACTGATCTAAATAAGAAAATGAATGGTGGATAATATTTTTTGGATCTGCATTTCGGACGTTATCAACACTTATACATAAACAAAAGTAGTGCGGTCTAGAGATATCTAGTGATTAAAAAAATGTAACTCGCATCTCACCTAATGCATTTAATATATTAATGTCTTCTGAAATAACAAATATGTTCGATAAATGGGGAATATATAAAGTATTTATAAAATAAAATTGTTTTGATCCATTTATTTTTAAATAAATTATAGTAATATAATGTTAAAATTATAAAATATAAAATCGAAAATGTATACATAAAAATAGTATAATTTTTACTACGACAGCCATTAGCACATAAAATATGAATCGTGGGGGAAAATTTTTTACTAATGCTTCAATTTATGATATAAATGATAGTTTCAGTATTTCTAGAATATTTTCAAGAGTTAAATTAAAAATATAATAAAAATTGATCACTTGTGGCTAATTAATTAAGTAAAATTAAAACTATATTAAAAATATTATTAATTTAAAAAACTAAAAAATATTAAAAATATTAAACACAAAGCCACAAAAAAATTAATGAAAAGTCGCGGATACGTATTTCGGAAACAATGTTACCATTATCAATGCTAATTAATTTAGCGACTTTTCATTAATTTTTTTGTGGCTTTGAGTTTAATATTTTTTAGTTTTTTAAATTAATAATATTTTTAATATAGTTTTAATTTTACTTAAATTAAAAATGTCTAAAACTACCGATTTTTAAAATTGTAACTTTTTGAAGATTTCTCTCATTTATGGGGAACGAGGGAAATTTTTTCAATTTTTGAAGGTGCTGTCTTCGACTAGATACGATTTATAATCTTAAAACGTAACGTTGAAAGAAATCGGTTCAGTGAAAATTAAGATAAAGTGGTAATAGACACAAAAAAAATAATAATAAAAAATAAATAAATAAACATATTATAGTAAAATCAATTATAGTTTTACTCCTAATATATATTTTAGAATGTAAATAATAAGTATTGCACTAAAAATTGTTCTCGACGCAGTCATTTTCTTAATTAGATTATTCTCCATAATACATAATTATAATAGTACAAGTTCAAGTATAGTAATATAAGCTACTAATATATGTATGTTACTTTAAAAAAAAATTAATTCATAAAGAACGTATATAACTTTAGCCCCGTTTATGACTACTATTAGGACCTTATTTACAGTTAAATATTTTCAACCCTATTTTAAAATATAGATTTTAGAGGGATTTTGCTATCATTTCTAAATTGAAAGGGATTTGAATCTAGATGAACCTATAGGTTCAACTAGATTTAAATCGGGTTTTTTTTACGCATAGATCATTAAAACAGTCTAGTGAGAACTGAGTATTTTCATGGACAAACATAAAAAATCACACTATAGTAAAACCAATACTTTCTTAGCTTCGCATCCAATCTAGAAATATATGTGTAAATTATAAAATAATCGTTAAAAATTAATTAAATACTTTATGTTGTATAATTTTTACATAATACAGCGGTTTCAAAAGTCATCATTCGAATTAAAAATTTTAATTTATTTTAAAAATGAAAGTATAAGGGTGAATTAAAATTCGAAATATTAATAAAATAATCAAGTTCTTTATAATTTAGTTACAACTTATAATAATTCAACGTCACAAGTCGCCCGACATACATCTATACAGTATTCGAATTCTTCCAAACGTTGCTGATCATACCCTGAGTTATAGCATTCACAGAATCTTAAATTCTGCTTCTGAGATCTCACAAGTCTGTAGCTAATGGTGGTACATAAACTTTATTTGTACAAAGTCATATAAAAAGTAATCACAGACTGTTAGGTCTAGGGAACTTGGTAGTCAGAAATTAATCGCCAAATCATTGTTTCCTATCCACAGTTGAGAGAATTTGCTGTTCACTTCTAACTTCCAATGCGGTGGTGCTCTATCTTATCGAAAAAAAAATCCCATAAGTTCTTTGAAAATCACATTGAACAGTTATTACCGATTTGCTATGACTAAAATAGAGGACACAAAACGTTTTCTGTGGCAGAGTCGCTATTTCGAAACAAACTGACGGTAGTTCACTAATCATAGAATTTATCAGCAACATAAAATAAATAAAAAATAAACTTGACTTTCTTTTTTTTTCCATTAGTATATGGGTCGTTAAACTGTGATTGAACACTTGAAACACATTGTACAATTAGTTTATGATTAATTATGTAAAGTGGCGGATTTTCAAATTTTTCTGGACGTTAGAATAAAATTTACATAGAATACTTAACAGAGTCTTATCCTATTATACAGGGTATTCAGTAAGTAAGGAAATAGGTAAATTGTTACTAACAATGAGAACAATAGAAACCCATTTCCTTACTTACTGAACACTATATATACATACAATGTAAAACAATCGATGTATTTCTAATTTCTGAATTCTGAACTCTAAAGGAGTTCTGATTTCCTGAAATCCGTCACTGATCATGTGTAATTTTGAAGTAGGTTCATGAAAGCCTATACTGTAGGATCAGCCATCCCTCTAGTGAATGTCTTTTAGTTAAAAAGTATTCATCTTTTTTTTTCAGATTTTCAATTTTAAACTCATTACAAATGTTGACGTATATCGACGTCCATCTTATTTACACTCTCTCAGTCATAGTAGTGTTGACATTAATAACATGGCCGTTCATAAGTCGATTCGAACTATTCAAGATTATATTTATAAGTACAATGGCATTTGTTTACACAACACCATGGGATAACTACATTATTTTTAATAACGCTTGGATATACTCCAATGAAAAAATTTTAGCTGTAATTGGTTATGTTCCACTCGAAGAATATATGTTCTTTGTTATACAAACTATTATGACTGCATTATGGACTGTCGTTTGCACTAGATGGTCACCCGCCTGCTTTAATTTTAACTTTAATCAGAATAGTTATAGACTAATACGTTGGATACCAATAATGATTTTGATGCTAGTCACAATCATAGGTTATATTATTAGTATTCCAGGGACACAAACGTTTTACTTGGGATGCATATTATGGTGGTCTTGTCCAGTCATTATGTTTTTGTGGTATGGAGTGGGTAATTACTTAGTGAAAAAACTGACGACTTCATTAATTGCGATCCTAGTACCTACATTGTATTTATGTTGGGTTGATCAAATTGCACTTAAAGAAAACGTTTGGCATATCAATGAGAAAACTTCTTTGAAGATATTTTTAGCCGAAGATCTACCATTTGAAGAGTGCTTATTTTTCCTTATTACCAATATTATAATTGTTTTAGGTTGCTTTGCGTTTGATAAAGCTTATGGTGTTACTGATACTTATACCATCGAGTTCCCATGTCGTTTTGGTGTGAATAGTGACTACATTTTACAGCAGTATAAAAATTTTGCTGTATCGGAATATACTATGTCATCACAGGTGGTTAGCGATATTAAGCAATGTTTTGAAGTTTTAAAAAAAGCATCTAAATCGTTTAACTTGGCCAGCTTTGTGTTTCCTACAGGTAATTGTTTACATCGTGTGATATTATTAGTTGAAATTCATTACTGATCCATTTCTTTTTGCTTGTATGTATTTTTTTCTTAAATGTGTTTTACCCTTAGGAATTCGATTGGACTTGATGATTTTGTATGCGTTTTGCCGTGTTACTGACGATATGATTGACAATGAACAAGAAAATAAAAAGAAATTAAAATTAAAGTTAATAACAAAATTTGTTGATGAATTGTTTGCGGGTCGAAAGTCAGATTATGAAGTCGAAACAAAGCCATATATTGTACCAATCTGCTGGTCCCAATATGAATCCGAATTGTCAGACGAAGAAATGGCTTGTTTTCGAGCCATATCTAGGATATCATTTTATATGCCACGAAAACCGTTTTATGAATTAATCGAGGGATACAAATGGGACATGGAGGGTAAAAAAGTAAAAAACGAAGACGATCTTTTATTGTATTCAAGTTACGTAGCAGGTAGCGTAGGTACCTTATGCGTATATATCATTTTGTATAAAACTGGAGATCAAAAGTTGGATCAAAAGCAACACGAATATGTGATTGAAAAAGCTAAACAGATGGGACGGGTAATACTTTTTAAAATGTAAAATTGTATGAATTAATTATTATTTATTTGTTTGTCTTATTATAGGTTTTACAAATTGTCAACATATCTCGAGATATAGTAACTGACAGTGAAACTTTAGGACGTTGCTATGTTCCTTCTGAGTACATGGACGATGAAGACGAAGAAATAAAAATTCTTTGTGAGAAAAAAACTCCATGGGAATTGGGGAATAAAAAATTGAAAAAATATGCAGCAAGGATGATTCAGCTAGCTAACCGACACCGAGCTGAGTCACTAAGAGGTATAAAGAGTTTACCGTATGAGGCTCGTGGTCCTATTTTAGTGGCCACCAACATTTACCAGAGTGTAGCTACAGCTGTTGAAGATAGTCCAACCTACCCTAAAAGAGCTTCCCTTAATGTATGGAACAAAATTCTAGTCACAATTACATCACTTTATTTTAAGACTTTAAAATATTGCACCCTATCTAAGTGTAGATTTAATTATTAATTAAAATGACTCATTGTACAATGATATCCTAGACTATTAAAAATACTTTATTTATTTAATTTTATATAAATTTAAAATTAAAATGAACTGAAAATTATATCCCTCATAACTTAGATTCATTTAAAAATTGTTGAAGATGTCAGCCAAATAGACAATCAATTTTTGTAAAATTATTATTTAAAATAGATTCAGAAATATTTTTATATCATATTTACAATACTTTATATTTGATACGTTTAACTAATGAAAATTAAAATGATGTACTTTATTATTAAGTTGAGCAAAATATTAGAAGGTAATGTTTTTATTAATTTAATATGTTTATTTGATGGGACCAAGATAATACCCTTAATTTCTTATCATTATACTAATGTGCTTTGTATTTGTATTTGTATTATAAATTACATAAACTATTGTTTGTATACGAAATAATTTTGTCATGTACTGCAAAATGTACACTTTAATAAGAAAATCACAATTACACATTTTTTATTACTAAAACCTAAAAAACAAAAAAGAAAAATTTCACATTCTATATCTGAATTATGAAGAGGAAAATATCTTTGGACCTTAATTTTTATTGGCCAGAAAATAAGCAAAAAAATGAATCAATAGGAAGGTATAATTAAAATTTTAATCCGTTGACATAAACAAATTTTTAAAAATCTAATAAAATACTTTAGAAGAGAACCTTTTTATTTTAAGTATAAGAATTATTTGAAAATAAAAAGTAATGTTTACATAACTTTTCTTTTTAACCTTTTTATTTGATAATATAAAGATTATACAATTTATATTTATATAACTATAGAAAAATATTTATTAAATATAAATCCATTTATAGTAACTAAACTAATACTTATAGACAATTAAAAATATAATTTAACAAAGTATAAAAATTTACAAATTAATTATAGTATTATGAATTAACCTAATAAAATTATAGAAATATTAAAAGTTTAAAGTTACATTTTAGAACCATAATTCACCTAAATCCCCATCAGTCTTATTAGCATCATCTGTAATATTTGAAATTTCATTTTTATCTTCATCTGAATCACTTATGGCTAAATCATCTTGAATCGCGCTTGAACTATTTGGGTTACTTGGTCCAGCAAAACTTTTGTCTTCATTTATTCTAAAATTTCTACTACCAGTTGGTAAAAAGTCTGATGGATCATAATTTGGGTCAAGATCCATACTATCATCTTTTATAAGAGAAAAATGATTAAAGTTGGCTTAAAAGCTATATCTGCATAATTCTAAAATACCTTGAATTTGATTTGAAAATGTTTCAACTGCTGTACTGTATCCTGTGTTACCTAGTAAAACCATTGCTTCAGCCACTTGTTGACTGTCATCATCCGGTGGGTTCTCTCCTACTACTTCCATAAAATCATCTTCTTCACTGGAACAGTTCAAATCTAAAAAATTCATAAATTAATACTATATACATTGAATGAGATATAATTGTATTTAATTAAATACCATCTGCTAATATTTGATGACTTTCAGATTTGAAATTATTTTCGGGATCTATTTGAAATTCTATGTCTTCAATGTTAACTTTGTGATCTCTTGGCGAGTTTAAGCTCTAAAAAGAAATATTTAACATGTTTCATTTAAGCATATATTTTAGATACATCTATCTAATATTACTCAATAAAATAAAATTATTTTTTGTTCAATAAAAGATTGACTCAGATTAACATAGACTTAGACTTAAAAAAAAAGGTAGTGTTAAATTACTGAATGTATATATTCTTTTTTATAAAATTATTACACAACTGAAAACTAATAAAAATAAAGAATCTAACATCTTCTATATCCTGCATATTGGCATAATCATCATCAGCTACAGAATCAATTTCAACTTGTTCTAAAGCTCTTGCTTGAACTAAACTTATATTTTGCTCAACTTGTGTAAGATATTGATCAAACTGAAAACAATAAAATATAATTATGAATATCAATAAGAAATATAAGTTATTGCAAAAATGTATTTCAAATATAATAAAAATATAAAAATATATGCCTCTTCCAAAGATTCACTTGCAGCTTTGACTAAATTTCTGGCTTGTTGTGTGAAATCTGAATCATCGCCATTGTAAGCCACACTATTTTCTAAAATTAAATTAATATCAGCCAAAAATTCTTTTCGATTGTGGTATTTATGACCTACAAAGGTAAAAAGAGGATATAGTTATACATATTAGCATCATTGTCTTTTTATGAAGATTAATTAAAGCGAATGAGAAACTTAAGAGAAATCATTTTACTTACTAGAAACACGTGATGCAATTGTTTCTAAATCAATTGGCTGTTTAATAATATTGTAGTAATCTTTAACCAATTTTCGGTTAACTGGTTTCATAAATGGCCATGCTTCACTCATTGTCTTTATTTTACCAACGACATTATCTAATATATAAGTTAATGCAACTTGGTCATTATCATCTAGTAATGGATTAATGGCTTTTTCAAGCAACATAAGTCGCTCTTCTTTTTCATGTAAACGATCAACACATACACCCAACATTCGTCGTGCAGCAACTGTTAATGAACTTTTAGCACCTTAAAAATAAAATTTTTCATAGATTTAGTTTAATTTTCATATTTTCACATATACATTTTAAAAAAATACACAATAGAAAAAACAAACCATTATAAAGAGTGGAATTTTCTACAATTTGATTAACATCTGAAAGAAACTCTTCTCGGTTCTGATATTTTTTTAGGCGAAGTCCATCGCGTATTGTTTGTAAATCCATAGGTCTTTGTACAATGTTATAATAATCAGGTACTAACTAATAATCAAATAAATATTCTATATTATAGTTAACAAATTTTTTATTAAAGATGGTTTAAAGAAAAAATAACTGGTTATTAAAATTTAATGAAATACATACAGATAGGTCAGAACTTAAAAAGTTTAATAACAATATGAAGTTATTAAATATTATAATAATGTTTCTTTTATTCACACCTTAGCATTGACAGGATAAATAAATGGATGAACATCGGGCATTCCACGCATTTCATTTAAAATTGATTCAAAAATAGTAGAAAGCACAACTAAAGGATCAGTGCGACGTCTATTAGCTGACCTATCAGGTTTTTTTAGATAGTCACAATGTAGTTCATTTTTTCGTTTTTTCCGGGATAATGCATCCTTAGGTACTTTTAAAAGTAAAGATCTTCTTTTTACTTCTTCAGCATGCTTTAAAATATTGAATTAAAATAGTATACAGTTAAAAAATATTTAATTAATAGGATGAATATCAACTTACTTTAAGTAATTTACTAGATAATGTAACTTTAGTACCATCAACATTAACTAAATCTTCATCTTCAACATTCATTTGTTTTTCTATTTCCTCTTCTTGTTCTTCGGTGAGAGCAACATTGACAGGAGCATTAGGATTTAAATTATATTGAGGACATGCCTTATTGGTTCTCATATGACCAACATTACCACAAGCACCACATCTAACTTTTAAATCTGGTTTCATTTTGCTAGGCTTAGGTTTACGTGGACGTGGTGGAGTAGCTTCCATACGAGGCTTAGGTATAGTAACAGTACCAGAAGTAGGCATTGGTGAGTCACTTCCAAGAGAATTATTTTTATTTGCCATTGAATACCCAAAACCTAAAAATAATATTGTTAATGAGATTAATTTTATATAAAACACGATTCAACTGGACAAGTTGTATGTGAGTGTTAAGAATAAAATTTTTATGTTTACCAGGTTGTGTTCGGGAATTGTTTGAAAATCGTTCACGTTCTTGATTTCTTTTGATGCGTCTCAACTGTTCTTGAATTCTACGTTTTTCACGTTTCATTTCTTCCTTTTGAGCTTCATCCATAAGTGCATATTGTCTAATAAAACCTTCATCTCTTGTAGTTCTAATTTTTACATAAGCATCAATTACACCAGGTTTTCGTACTACTTCTGTTCTTGTAAACTCTTTACCATCAGCGTCTTGAAAAGTTCTATAAATTCTTAATACGCGACCTAAGAACAATTTTTTTAATAAAATATTTTAAAAAATTTAAAAATACTAAACAAATAATAATAATGGTTATTATTATTTTTATTCCTAAGAATTATGAAATAAAATATCTACATACCTGGTTGTCCAGTAGAAGAAAACTGCATACTATCTTCATCATCTAATTTTTTTTTCTCTCTTTTTCTCATATCATCATTATGTTCTCCCATAATCATTTTACGTAGCTCATGTCTTTCTTGTTCTTCTTTTTCTAGTGATAGCTAAAATTAAAATTAATAATAAATATATATAATTTTAGTATAATCCTATAATAAAATGTTAATAAAGAATTTTAAATTAATATTTATTATAATATACTTGTGTGCTAGTTTTTTTATTTGATAACATATTTTCAATATTTTTGCCCATTTCTTCTATGTCAGAGCAGTCTTCCTCATCAAAACTTTCACCTTCATCAGTAGACAAAACTTCATGAGATGAAAGTACTCTATTTTGTAAATCAAATATTCTTTGACACTCTTCTTTATACCTAGAGAAGAATTTTAATGTTAAATTAACCAACCCTTGTGATCCAAATGACATATTAGGGTATCATACTATCCTTACACAATTAATTATACCTTATTAAAAATTGTTAGAAAGTTACATAAGAAAATAATAAATATAAATAGGTTCAATAAAACTTGTATATATTGTTGGCCTCATTTAATTTTCGTTTAATAACTCCATTTTAACTACTTTTCAAGTGATAAATACCCTTATGCGGAACTACAAACTGTATATGGCCCAGGTTAATGAACACCTCAGTTTAGGCTATAATGTAAAGTGTAGTTAGACATTGTTTGTGCAGTTAAAAATAAAGTTTGTGTACTTGAGAAATATATGTTTGGTAGTTGAAATTTACTAGAATTAGTAGAATACAAAAGTAAGCGACAGAAATACTTAATGAGAATATTAGTTTTTTCTATAATATTATCATTATAGTATGTTCAAATTTTGAATCTAAGAATAAACATGTTATTTGTAGCTAAGAATATATTATTAAGAACATTTTTATCTTACTAAATAGCTCATATCAGGATTAATGTCTAATTTTCTTTTAGTATTATTATAACTTTTTTAAAACAAAGCAATTTCATAATAATTATATGCTTTTACAAATAATAAAATGAACAAATACTTTTATTATGGTTGTAAAAACTAAATTATAGTTTAATGCATGATAAAAAAAAAATTTTAAATATTAACTTATTTAAAAATTCAATAAAAAATAAACATTTTATTCATGATAAGCCTAAAAACAATCTATAGTAGAATAACAAGAAAATTTAATTAGTAGGAATTTAGAGATATGGGGATTGGAGATAATTATATTCTTATATTATTTCTTGCCTTATTTACACGCATATTTTTAATTATTATTCTAATCTTTCCTATTAAAAATTTAATTTTAAATTTTAATTTGAATATTCATTTTTATGATTTAAAAATTTATTTCTGATTGTATACGTAATTACTTTTACAAATAACTCCATGGTATTTTGAAAAAATATGAAAAAAATTTCATATCAAAGATACTAATTTATTTTCATTAAATGATCTTATAAAAATCTGTCTTAGGAAAGACCAACATTATTGTTACCTTTCTTGATGTTCTGCAATAGAAAATCTATTTCCTCTAGAAAATTTCGTCATTCCTTCTTCTCCAGCTTTTGCTTTTTCAGTTGATAATGTACGAACTACATCAATAACTTCCCATCTTGACAACTTTTTAATTTCTTCTTCAGGCACAGCAAATTTTCTTAGTAGAGCCTTTGCATTATTTAATGATAAACGTCTTAAATCAGCATCAGTTCCAGTGACCATACGTTTAGGTTGAGCTTCTTGTTCTTCTTTATTTAACTTGATTTTAAAAATAATTTTACTATAAATTGTAATAAGTTATCCTTAGTTTTAACTTACTGTTGGTTTGTTGGGTACTCTAACATATGAAAACCCTTCACCACAACCTGTAGGATCAGCAGGACCAGTTAATTGAAGTAAACATTTTCCTTTCATAGCTTGAATGTATGCTCTAGTTGTATTCCAAGGAGCAACTTTAATCTCATCATCCATTTTAAGTTGCATTTCTTCATCGTCATCATCTAAACTTGTAAGTATAAATTTTTCACCATAGCCAGCATCCTATTATTAAAAAACATTACAATTTATAAAAATAATTAAACAGATTAATAACATACACACTACATTTTAAATTCTTTCAAATAGTAATTAAAAATAATACAGGAAAATATTCAGTAGAGCTTTTAGCTTTTTGATATCTCTAGACAAAATTATTCTACTGTCTCCTTTATAATTCATTAACTATCAATACTTGTTCATTTAATAATTTTTTATTTTTATTTTCTCAATAAAATATATAAACAATAAATTTTCAAAAAAACTAAGAAATTGGCCTGAAATTTTATAAATTAATTTTTAAAAATGGTTTATAGATGTAATTGAGCTATATTTTTATGTATTTTCAATAAAAACTTAAAAAATTTTTTTAATTATTACTTTCACTTGGAAAACTCTATTAATGAAAAACTTTAAATTTACCCCATTTACCGATTTCTAAGAAAGGCTGCTCGAGAGTACAGTTTCTTACCTTACCTAAAAATACATCACTACAAATAAGAATAAAAATGTTTGGCTAAACCTTAATAAGAAAAAATTTATATTAAGAACTAACTTTAAGTCTTTGTTCAGCTGCAATCATACTGAAGTAAGCACAGCACTGTTCTGGAGAGACCATAGCACGAATTTCTTCTTCAGATGGTAAACGAAAATCTGGTTTTATGACCCACCAATTTGAGTCCGATCCTAAAAGAAAATATAAATTAATTATTTTTAAACAGAAAATAGGGCAATATAAAAGGAAATGAGTTAATATAAAATATATCAGTTTATTAAAAAATCTTAGGCTTTAAAAATCCAAAACACCAAAAACAATGGAAACATAATTCAATAAATTTAATAAACAAGATTATATTGGTAAACAAATGTACAAGAAAGCAATAATAATTAAAAAATGTCCCGAAAACTATAATAGAAAACAAAGATGGAAAATTAGCAAAACTTAATTACCTATTACATAACAAGAAAAATGAAGACCATTTTCGACATATAAGAAAATTGCTAGTACAAAAAAAGAAAGAAATAAATGTTGAAAACGATAACAAAAATTTGGAATTAAAATATCCAAGTAAAATTGAGATATATAGACAAAACATAGCATCAATAATTAATAATTTCATATTAATTGCCTTTAATATAAAATGCTGATTTATAAATGGACCATGACACCAAAATTGGTAAATTAAATTTTGTTAATAATTTTAATTAAGTTGTTTTCATGGATGTGTTTGAATTATATATTAAATAAATTATATAAAATTTTCATTGTTTTTGTTTGAGAATACAAAGTTTTTGAATTTGAAATTTTCCATTATTTTATAATATTAATTTTAAACCCAATCCAACCTTTTTACAAATTTCCTTTTTTTTGTGTTTATAGTACTACCAGGGTGTAAGAAACATGTAACAAAGGCAAAGAATTCTTTTCAATCAACTAATAAATCAACTAATTTTACATAAGTAAGTCTTATGATTATTCTGGGACTAGCTTGTTGAACTAAGCTTCTTCACTCTGTTTTTGCTGGCGTTAGTAATCAAAACCTTTTAAGTTACACCAATGGTTCTTTTCTACTTTGTGCTTGAGCTATCTGTTGTAAGGCAAATTTTAAGATGAAGTGTTTGAAAATCATAACATTATTTAGACTCTGTCACGGAAGCTATTTTTTAGTATTTTTAAGGCTATAAAAATTATGTATAATAATAAAATATACAATAATATCTAAATACTAGGCTCCGCCTAGCTGGGGCTCCGCCCCAGACCTGGAGCCCTTTGAGCCTTACGCGCCTTCGGCCTCTTTGGGCCGTCATCATAAGTAGGCCACTGATTCCTGTAGGGGTACCCGGCTACGCCAGTCATGATAAGTGTTTTTCAGAAAAAATATTACATCAGAATCAGCGTAACAAAACTACATCTAAAAATGTTATTATTAAAATCAGAAAAATTCAAAAAAAGAATATAGTAAAATGTATTGGGTATAAGGTTGACGTTTGTTAATGAGGTATACCCTTTAGGCCTATTCAAAAATTATTTTAGGAGGGTATTTAATATTTTTTACTTTGTCAAACATGTTATAGAAATTTTTTTGCTAAAAATTAAAGTAATAATGAAAAAAAAGGACATTAGTACCTTATATATTAGAAGTTGCCTAAAAAAATATTGATAGCGCTGGTTCAAGGGGGGCCCATATCTCTCTTAAATACACCCCTGTTATACACAAAAATTATTAATAATCTAATTATAATAATTATGTTTATATTATAGAATAATTTAAAAAAAAAAATTAGCAGGTTATTATATGTGGAACATTGTAAAAAATTTAATTTTGATAAAAATATTGGTAACTACGATTTAACGTTGGACAGCATAGTTTTCATAGATCAATCCCAATTCAAACGATGAACTCATAGTCTCATACATCATATATGAGAAAAAAAGATTATGTACTGTTCTGATAATGAAAGTACAAACTTATATAATTATAACGTCTTGAAAATTATATATCACATATAATATTCTTTGATAAAATATAGTGAAAATGCAAAATAGTGTCCTAATAATAATACATATTACACCATATAATTAAGGTTCATAATAAACGTATGAGCAGAAATGAATAACTGCACATATGAAAACCATGCACGTGGACTTAAAAAAAAAAAAGCTCGTAAAACGGTGAAAAATTAACGGATTGAATTGATTTTTTTATCATATCTCAAGAATGTCATTGGGCGGGTCTGATGAAAATTTCAAACCTTAAGTCGTAAAATGCTGGCGTCAGCGAGCGTTTTTGAAGAAAACGGTAGAAATTTTAAAACGCTTGCGGGCGAGTGTTAAAAATTTTCCGACCATTGGCAATAATTTTCCCAAAGTCTCGTAACCGAGACTTTTGTTGAAAAAAAAATTTGAAAATCCGAGCACGCTAAGTAATTTTTCCAGAAAAGCGTTTTTATCCTTGTTCTATTATATAATAAGATTGTGTCATATCATATATTAAAAATATATGATAAAATACATATTGTCCCATGCTGGGGAGTACTATATTAACTAGTCTAAGTTGAGCTTTAGTTACATTGCCCATTAATTTTGAGTATTACTACAATGCTTAATGGTCAATCTGTAAATATTCTAAATACCAAATTAACCTATCAAAAGTCACTTTATTTAGACTAAAAGGGTAAATTAAACTAGTATATTAAAAATTCTTACCAGTTCTTTTGAAGTCTGCACATAATTTAAGACGCTTACGAATACTACTTTCTGAATGAGATGGAAATGCTTTCTTTATATCATCCATTCGTATACGTCTTGGATAATCAACACTTTTCCAAAATAAACGATAAATAAAAACCTATTCAAATTATAAAAAAATTAAAACTCTAGTTAAAAATTTAAATAGTATTTGTCTTGATCAAGTAGAAAATATAATTTTACTTGTAAAAAGTCTCTAACAAAATTATTTGCTCTTTTTGAATTTGGACCAGGAACTTCATATAATGGACATAATTGACCCGAAGTAAAAAGAGCATCTATTTCTCGAATATAATAAGCATGTCTGTATGTAAAAATATTAAAGTTTATATATGACAATTTATAACTAAAAGGAAGTTTTAAGTATAAAGAAATAGCTCAATGATTAAATTTAGTAAAAATATTTCATTATTTGAAAAACTATTTTAGATTCCATACTTTATTTAAATTACCTGGTTCTAATTAAGAGAAAGTCATTTTCTAAAGGCTTATGTTCATAAATTGGAGTACGATATAAATTATTTTCAACAACTTGTATTGTTTTACCAGGAGATAACACACCCAAAAAAGGAGATGTATGTGCATATGCAACTTCTCCAAAACGTAAGTTTGGTGGACCCGGATCTTTTCCTATTTTACGTTTATAATAGTTTTTAATTTTTGAACACATACCCACCTAAAAAAATAAAATAATAGTTAAAAAAAAAAAAGTTGGTATTTTTCTTACTTGATTTAAAAGAGGGGGGTGTTCTTCACAGTATTCTATAAGAATAATAGAACCATCTCGACCAGTTAAATCATCTGGTGTTCTCATGAAAAATACATCTCCTCCTCCAGAAGCTATTCTTTCTTGTTCTCTTAACTGTAATTTATAATTTTTTTATTTTAACAACAATAAAAATTGAAACATTTTATTTCTGACTAACCTTTGCTTTCTTTTTGATATTTTTTAAAAGAGGTTGTACACAGTGCAATATAGGCTGAGCAACAGCACCATGCGAATATCTTTTCATTGGAGGACGATGAAAGTTCCTTAATCGCATTGGTCCCATATGAGTTTGTATAAAAGGAGCTTTCAATTCAACGACAGGAGTTGAATGTTGAATAATATTTCCTCCACCAACTTTAAGGCGTAAGGATGTTTCTGATGAACGTGGTTGATAATAACTAAACATTAAATAAAATTTGCTTTATACTATACTGTTTTAAAACTTTTAAACAATGTTATATAAAACAACAATTTAACTAATGTTTCTATATTATCTATAAAAAAGATATACCAGTCATTTGAAATGTTAAATGGATCTCTATCTGGTGATTTTGGTGGAGGTAATGGAGTATCTTCTTCTAGTACATTAATAACACCAGCTTTTCCAAGTAATAATTTTGATTTTTTAACATGTGGATGAGGAATTTTCACTTTAACTGGCGTAGCATTATCTAATCTTTGTTTTGCTGGATCTACATCATCTGGTACACCTAATATGATATTTTCATCATTAGGATCTAAAGTCAATATCTTTGGACGGGGTATTTTTTCCATATTTTTAGCATCCCAAATAATTTCATCTTCCCAAGTACTATATACAAGCTCTTCATTTTCAACAGGGAAAATTGAATACCAAGTATCATCTGAAGTATCATTAATTGGTTGTTGTTTTGAACTACTAAAAGTTTTTTTAAATATTCATTTTAAATTTTGAATGTTATATAGTACAAATATAGAAAAAATCTTACATATTTGGTTTAGGAGTCATTTTGTTTTGTGACTGAGATACATTAATATTAGATGTAGCTAATCTCACTGATCCACCAGCAAGGGGAAGCATTCCTTTCCCTGGTTGACTAAAAGCTTGAGCAGTACGATTAGTACTACTAGGTACCCATCCAGCTGCATTAGTTTTGCTGTTTAATTTTTGAAGAACTTTATGTTTTATATCTTCTCCATTCCAAATAATGTCATCTTCCCAATGTAATTGACTTACCATCAAATAAGCATCATCAGGGTATGGGTTATTTTCTTCATTATTATCATTATCTTTTAACTAAAAATAATCTTATGATTAACACTTGGATTTGGTAAAATTCTTTAAATTTCAAAAAAAAAAAGAAGATTTTAACCAATGAAGATTATACTATTTTTAATTTTTTTTTGTAATTAAAAAAAATTAAAATAAGAACTATAAGTTATTCAAAATTATTTTAATTGTTATTAATTAAATAACATAGATTAAACATTTAGGTCCTGGAAATTAAATTTCATCCAATGTATGTAAATCTTTTTCATGTCCATTTTACATTATATCTTTGTTTTATATATAATAAATAATACTAATGTACTATTGATAAATAATTATTTTATTTCTTCATAAAATTTTATAATTAATTAAACATATATTATTTACTTTATTTTCTTTTAGTTTGAAACCATAATCAAAACCTTCACCATTTTCAGGTACCCCTAGCATATCATACCACAGTTTAGCTGGGCCACATCTCCAATATGCTTGATTATTTGAATTATCTTCTTGTTCTTGCTTATTTTGATTGGTTTGTTTAGAAAAATTTTCAATTGGTTGAAGTAATTTATCCTAAAATTTATATTTAGTATTATTTAAACCAAAAAATTTAATAAAATTATAAAATAACCTCATCATCACTAGCAATGCATTCAGATGGAGGAATTGGTCCAAATTCTAGATTTAAAAGATGTTTTTTATAATCAACATCAGATGAGCTACCATCTATTCCATCACTATGTTTTCTCTTTTTGCGTTTAGTTTTAAGATTACGCCAAACTTTAGGAAGTCGACTTGATTTATTGGGTTTAAATAATCTTGAAAATCTCAATACCTATTAAAAATAGAAACAAAGTTATAAATGTAAAACAGTTAAAAATTAAAATACAAAGATTTTTATTAATTACTTTTCCAACTCTAAAATCAGGAAATAAAGTTGTCACATCAACATTTTCATACTTAGATGGTAACATTGCAGCTAAAGGAGTTTCTAGTCGTTTGTTATTGGCTTCAGATTTATTGGTTTCTTCATTTGATACCTGTTTTTTTTCATTATCACCGTTATTACTTTTGTTAGAATCATTTGGTATATTTACATCTTGTACTTCTTCTGCTAATTCTTCAATATCAAAATAATCAAGAGCTGTAGGTGATTTTTCTTCATTTTCAACAATATTTTCATTGCTAGTTTCTGAAACTTGTAATTCTGATGTTCCAATAACTTCTGACACGATTGAATTAAAGCCTAATTTGGATAGTGAAGCTAAATGTTTTTTTGTATCACAATCAAGAATGTCATCGTTTTCAAGTTGTCCTCTTTCATCAATGTTTCCAAAAATAAAACCAGTCAAGTCGAAATCGCTTGACATTTGTTGAGCTTCTGAACTATCTTCACTCATTTTCAATATTTAATTAAATATAATATTAATGTAAAAAGTTTAATTTTATATGTTTGAATGTTATTTACAAAATTTTAACCATTTTATCATTATTATTAGTTAATGTCTCTGGTGATCGGTAATTTTTGATAAGAACAGTGTTGTTTGTTTTAAAACATTAAAATTACTAACTGTAACTTCTTTCTATCAGAAAAACATTTCTAATGATAATAATATATAGTAGTGACACTAAAATTAACGACTGCCTACCTTGAGTTAATTTTTAATTGAAACTTGTGAAAATTTTCTAGATAGGTTGTATTTAAAATAATTAATCAGAACACCACATTTACAAACAATAATTATTTACAATATTTAGATGAAAATTTCTCTTTGTTAATAAATTTACTGTAACTTGAATTATTATTATTTTTTAAACAATATATTTAGATTTCAAACTCATAATTATTTGATCTTATTTTAGTTATTTGTTTACCAAGTGATTAAAATGGATAAAAATTCAGTTAATTACCAATCATGCATCAAATTATGTGGCATTCGTATTGTTTCTCCTTTAGTAAGTTACAATTTTTAATAAAATTACTATCAAACAAAACTGCTTCAATTTGATGCAATACATATTATATTTTACCCAATAATATACATACATGATTTTTGATGTTTACTTTTATAAGTTTGCAGAAATTTCTTAAAAATTGTTAATATTCTACAGTTGTAAATGTTTGGTTTTTATCAATTACAAAGTATTTTATTTACAAAAATACCAATAGAATTTCATAACTCATTAAATTCTAAACTTACAAAAAATATATTTACTTAACAAAAATAAAAAAAAAAAATTTGTTAATATTAACAACTGCTTTCAAAGTTTTTTAATTTCACTACTATTTTTTACCAAAAACCTTTAAATTATTTTAAAGTAAATATCATCAAATTTTTTGACTTGGAAGTTTGTTTAATTCACTTGCTTAATTATATTGACTCTTGTGTTTTACGATTTTTATTAATTATTTTTGAGTATTAACCAAAGTGTTAAGCCTGAAGTTTGAAATTTCTTAAACACTAAACAAAGCTCTGATCAAAATTTATGCAAATGACTAGGCATTACTTTGTTTCATTTTTGATATTAAACCAGTTAATTTTATTTAAAAAAAGCTAACTGACACCAAATTGTTTTATGGTCATCTTGAATAGATTTTATATATTTTTAGATGACTAGTATAAAAAGACAAGAAATGAAAAAATACAAAGAAAGAGCTATGACATTAGAACATAAATTAAAAGGTAAAAGAGTTAGCATGGATAGTGGTGTAATGACTGCAAGTGCAGAACTGCAAAAAATTGAAAATTTAGAATCACCAACCATTTATAACAATGAACTCAACATTTATGAAAAACAAAATAATAAATCAAATAATTCTCTTAACCTATATCCAGAAGAAATAAATACTTCTAAAACACCACTTGAATATTCAGTTAACAAAAATCATACTTTAAGTTGTGATCAGTCCGCTGTAGAAAGTCAGTGTATTAAGTCTAAAGACATTAGTAATAAGGAAAATATTTTTGTAAATTATATCTTCCAAGATAATTCTAATATTACTGATTTAACTACTAGTGAAGATGATGTATCAGTGAAAACTGATACACCACGCATAAGAAGTAGTTCATATACATTATCGTCTCCTAGCCCAAGTATGGTTGCATTTTTAAATAGTCAAATACAACAAAATTTGATAAAATTTAAGTACTTAGAAAAATATCATACTTCTATTGATTGTAAATCTGAACCTCCTAGTATAAGTAAAGAAATAACTAATGAAACAAATAATTTAACGAAAAGTTCCTCATTATGCTCAGTTTCTAAAGTTATGGACAATGAAGTATTTATTCAAAATTTGGACAAACTTCGAAAAAATTCTACTTTTTGTGAGACATTAGATGTTTTAAAGAATGATGATAAAATACAAGTTCATGGTGTAAACACTAAATCAATGCATGGAGTAAATTTGAGTGATGATGAGAGTATCGTGGCTAGTGCCGTGACTGTACTTAATGGGAATGACTTTGAAAATGATAGTAATACTAATTCTATGATAAGACAATGCTGTTGTAAGCATAGTGATGATGAGTTTTCTTTAAATAGTATCATGCAATATAAAACATCTGAAGAGATAAAATTAGAAGCTGAACAATTAAAAAAAGAAAAATTGGAAATAGATAATAGACATCAAGAAGAATTATCAAATTTAATAAAAAAACAAAGAGAAGAACAGCAACAACTTGCTTTAAAGATTTTTCTTATTTCACAGAATTCCTCAGGTATATCTCTAAATCAATCAGAAAATTCTGAAATTTGTCAAGAATCATACAAAAATCCTTCAATAACATTGTCAGAAACAACTCTTACTAATGACAAAAGTTTACTTTCAGATACATCATCTATTATTTCTAATTGTTCTATAAACAGAAGTAGTAGGGCTTGCTCATCTCCTAGGCAAAATCCACCAAATCGGTCACCAAGTTTGCTACAAAATATTAAATTTTATCATAGGATACGTAATGGTACAAATGCAAAATGGTCAAAACCCCCTACTGAGGTAGAAAACTCTGCAGCAATTGTTATAAATGCAGCTGTTCGTGGATATCTTACAAGGAGACTTTTAAAAACTGAAAAAGCTCAAATGTTAAAAAAAACTATTTTAGATTCTTTAAAAACTGCTCTAATTATGCATGTTGAATTAAAAAAACAACAGCCAACTGAATCTGATCTTGAACTTCATCAACGAATCATTAACCAGGTATTTTATATCCATAGGTTACAATATTTTCCTTAAAATATTTTATTATACAAAGTTAATAATTTTTAAATAGTTAACATTAATAGTGTAAAACAAATTTACTATGCTGATTAGTCAATATTGATAGTTAATTAGTACATTGTCAAAGCCCACATCCTCAAAATTTTCACGAAAACCAAAAAATATATTTTTATTACATTTTTGTTCATTCTAACATGAAACTTCTTTTGATAATTTCTTTCTATGATGAATGATATTTATAATAAATTAAATTTTTCTATATACAATATAATTTTTTACAATACAATTTATACAATTTTTTTTTTTATACAATTTATATTTTTCAAAGTCATTTTTGAAAAATGAGCCATTTACAACAATTTGCCTTCAAGCAATCAATATAATGTTGTATATAATTATGAAAATTATAATTTGTTTTCAAGTATTCAAGACAATAATTTTGATCTAATTATTTAAATATGCTTTTAATTTTTTTTTTTAGAAATATTTTAATAAATATTTTTTAATGAATTGTTCAAAGTAAAAATATGGTATTGAAAAATAATTAGTAAGTAATTGAATCAATCAAATAATTTTGATTAAGGTTTAAATATTTTCTATTTAATTGATATTATCAATTTTTAATTAATATATATATTTATCGAATATTTTTTGTTAATCTATAATATTTAAATTAACACTAATTTTAAATGTATACTTTTTAGTTAACTGTTGCTTGCTATGATTTAAATGATTTGATTTTGGGATCTGTTCATGAACGTATGAGTATTATTCGTGGTGATCGTGAACGTATCAAAGCAATAAAACAAAGACGAAAATCTACTCCATCAATAAATTATAAAATAACACCTACTTATAAAAAGTAAGAAGTTAATTTTAAATATTAAAATTTATGTTGATTTATCTATACTTTTTAGGCCAAAAAAATCATCATCTGGATATTCATTATCAAAAATTAATTCGGGACATCTACTTGAAAAGAAACCTTAAATAAGAAATAATATAACTTAACACGACTATTTCTTAATAATGACTTCTCACTAGTAAATACTAAGTTATTAATGCATTGCATTGTTCACTTTATTTCACTCATTTTTTTGGTGTAGTTGATTTTATAAGTGAAACCAAAGATTCTTTCCTCCTATTGTCATAAAAATAAACACATTATGCACATTTTATGTTATATTGTTAAGCAAATATTAGAAGATAATTATAAAATTGTATTATTATTTTTATGATTGTTTCTATTAAGTTTTGTAATTATAAATATTTTCATGTAATAATTATAACTATTTTGTATTATTAAATTAAATCAAACTGTTTATTTGTGTATTTATGAGCTTAATAATTTTTATTTCATTAGATCCTTATAGCTCGCTTTGACAGTTTATTCGTATTAATTATATTTGCTGTACCATAAAACCTTTGATTCTTTTAGTTCAATGTTTCTCCCAATTTTTCAATCGTTATGTTTTTTTATGTTTATCCCTTTTATAGCAGCACCCACTCCCCAACTCCAGTCATTACTTGAAATTGTTAATAACTTTCGAAATACTAATCCAAAAGTTGTTATCGACCAGTCATTTTTTTAATGAGATCATTATCAACTGAATGGAGATATTATTAAAATTTAAATTCATGTTATTTAATCAATTTTATTTTATAATTTTGTTGTTATAAAAATTTTATTTGTCTTTGATAAGTATTTATCTTAACATTAACTAGTTTGTTTTTTTGGTTAATTTCAATCGGTAACTTTTTTTTTTTTAGATGTTATTAGAATGTTTTTGATTTGAACTTTTTGTCACCAAATTAAAAAATATTGATCAGTTGAGGCATTTTTATTAATCAGTTTTAATAGTATTTATAAATGACAAATTATAAAAAATTAATTATAATACCAATTAAAACAAATAGAAATTTTACTAACATGTCAGATTTTTCAATTAAAATAATTGAGTAGACCTTATCATTTGAAGACTACCACTATACAAGGATAATAATTATACTACAAGATTTTTTTTATATATTAATAATATAATTTTTGTGGTAAACTTTTTAATAAAATATGTCATTTCTAAAATCCATTATTTCCTTCTTCCCAATTAATAGATCCCTTTAATGTGGAAGGTAAATTAAATATATTTTATAAAAAAACTATAGCTACTTTTGGAATATAATAATAAAAATGAATACAAATAAATTATTAATCAATTTATTACTTTACTTTTTATCTTCCTTTAAAAATTACATAAATATTTGAAAGTAAAAAAAAAACAGAAGTAAAACTACAGAAAAATGTATACAATTTTAAACAATATAAAATAAAATAATTAATTTAATTGATGAAAAACATTCTTTAACTCCATTAATTTGTAAAATTATGACATTAAATATGATAAAAATAATCTTTGTCACTGTATTAATAATTAATTTTTAAAATAATAACTTTTATCCAATTAAAATTTTGTTAATTATTTAAAAAATAATGAACTTTTTTATATAAATAATTTACCAATATTATTGAAGTAGTTACATTGCAATCTTCAAAGTATAAGAAGTTTTATAACTTTGATCAGAATACATTTTACTATTCTGGAATTTTTTTTTAATTGCTGTCAAATTTCAATATATGTTAAAGGTAGTACAATATTCTTTAAATTTTGTATACTAATATTCATAAGATACAAATTTTAATAATACTATCTAGAATAATTAGCCTATAATGTATAAAATCAATCTATAAAATATAGTAGATAAAAATAATACTTAAAAACTTAATAATATACAAATAATATTCAAACAAATAAAAATTAACACAATAAAATATAAATAAACATTATACTATTAATAACAACAAAAATATAAATGTATACNCAACTTAGTTTTTATTGTAAAATTTAATTTTGCGGATTATCCGCGGAATTCGTTTATCCGTGGATGTCCTGCCACCCTATTCCACGGATAATCGGGAGTTTACTGTATTTTTATATTCAAGTAAATGTTCCCTTTGGGTCAAATTAATTTGATTTCCTTTTTGTGGTATACTAGATTTATATAACCTACATATATTTCATGAAATAATTCGTACATAATAACTTAATGAAAGTTTATTTTAATCATCAATTAAAACTGAGTAATTGCTTAAATCTAATGAGAATGAAGTTTAAATTATTTCTGTACATTTTAATATTTTTAATTAAGACATTTTTATTAATTTTTCTAGAGAACTAAGTAGAGTTTTACTTGAAAAGGAAATTGCATTGATTGTAATAATCAATTATTAAAAAAGATTATAAATATTATTACCACAGGTAATTTAACCTAATTAAGTACACTAAAAATTAATTTATAATTTAAGTAATTTTAGGTAAATTCAATTTATGATATAAGAATACAATTTCAAAATATAAGTACATTGAAATTACCATTCCTTTTTTATTATTGAGCAATTAGATAACAATGAACTAAAGACAACAGATTTTTGATTAAACATTTACTTCAATAATTTAAATAAATATTGTGCTGAATTATACTAGTATATTGGAACATTTTATAACTTATTATTTACAGTATGTTTAAGTATCAAAATCAATAATATATTAAATAAAAAACTAATTTCAATAAAAAAAAGATAAATCATAACTTCATTGTTGTTTTTTATGCTAAACTTGTTGTATAATACTATAATTTTAGTAACTATTCAGCTTTATTAAAATAAATTCTTACTAGGCAAAGTTTGTAATAAAAAAAAATAATTCAAACATATAATACATACCATTTTATAACATAACATACATATAACTGTTATTTAGGGGACCAAAGTTATACTTTTAAAAAAAAATTTTTTTAAAAGATTATATGAAAAAAATTATTAGAACTTCTAATGATCTTAAAAATCATATGGATTGTATACTTAATGTAGTATTAAATAAAATCATAATTTATTGTATATTTATAAAAAAACCTTCAAAATAATTATTGCATAAAGGTTTTGATTGAATACAAAAAAAGGTCTAGTTAATTTTTATTTTAAAGTATACAAACCATCAATTTTTTTTTTTTACAAAATTGAAACTAGAAATTATATTTATTATTTAATATTTTATACAAATAAATTTATAAAAAGAAATATATTACTTTGTATTTTTCTTTTTTAATATTTTAACCACAAAGATTTGGCAAAAAAAAACTTATTATTTCAGATCAAATTTAAACTATAATTAAACTAAATTATTATTTTTTATTACAGAATGTTTTTAAGGTAGGTGGAATATGTTAGTCTACCAACACATTAAAAAGATTCTGTAATATTTTTACTATCAATGACTCAACAAATCAACAAGAATGTGCATACATTTTTACATAAATTTTATAAACAATATATTAAAATTTAATAAATATTTATTCATTAAAACTATTTAGTTATTTTATCAACATATATACAAACTTGCATATAAATAACTCAAATTTATAAATACCATTTCATAAATTTTAAATGTATTTAGATTGAAATTTTAGTATTTTTTTATTGTCTATGATTTTCTTTATCGGTGAAATATATTATATATTTTTAAATACTTAAGATAAATAAATCACAATTTTATTCTTGAGATACTATATTTAAATTGTTAATAATTTTATTAAATTTAAAATAAATTACGAATAGTAATCTATGTTTTGTTTATTTACAAATTATTTTGTTATAGAATGTTAAAATATTTAGATCTTAGTTTTCTACTTTATCCACAATAAAATACAATTTTTCAAACATAAAAAATACTAAAAAAATTTGAAAAATTATTAATTAAAAAAATTTAGTATCTATTTTTAAAATGGTAACTAAGTTTGACTTGATCCATAAGTACCTGCTGGTGGCCTATATTGCTCTGGTAATGTAAAATGTTGTAATCTATTAAATGCATATTTTCTAATACCTGTATTTTTGAAAGTGTTTTCTCTTCGACAACCCTCACTAAAAAAAAAAAAAAAAAAA